GCACATCCCTCCACCAGTGGACATTTCCCACCACCAATCACCAATGTCCCCAGGTTCCCTCCAGCCTGCTGTCTATGGCATGGCAGCCACTTTCCTGCTCTCTCTCTCTCTCTCTCTCTCTCTCTCTGTGTCTCTCTCTCTCTCTCCCCCACTCCCTCCTTTTCTCCCCCCAACTCCCCTTGGGGGCATTCTGGTTTGCAGTAGAGGTACTGAGAGGTTCCTTTATCTGTTTCTGTCACAGTTTTTATCCAGAGTGATCATTTCCAAGTCTCTCTGTCAAGGTGCTCCCTTCTTTATCCCAAAGGCCCTTGTTTCTGCTGTTCTTGAGTATTGGTCTCATATTATGACAAAAGCCCTTTTCCTTAATGGAATACTTGACTAACTTCTCTTTAAAGAGAAATCAGGTTGTGGTGTTGTTTATATCAGCATAGGGGATAGCTCTTAGAGGCCTGTTCTAGTCACCCTCTTGAAACTCGAACCCTATCCATCAGCTCTTATGATTGTTTTGTATTCCATCAGTTACCACAAAAACTATTTTATTCATTCACTTATCATGTCTTTCCATAATATACAAAGATTCTAGGAGGTTAAGGACTTTTTTCTGTTCACTGTGATATCTGTGACATCAGGGCCTGTACCAGCTCACACAGTACGTGCTCTTTAAGTATGTTCTGGTTTGGGCTTCCCCGGGTCACTCCTGGCAGTATAGTCTGGCTGTTTGGGCTTAATAGCTCAGTGCTGAGATGGGGCTGTTAGGACCCTGCAGGGCTTAGAGGCTCATAGTACTTGGGGACTGAATTTAGGGCCTAGTGCATGCAGAGTATGTGATTTAGCCCATCGACTATTTCCTCAGCCCTTAAGTATATTCTTAAATATTCGAAGATGGGTCGCTGAACACAGCACACATAAGATGGGTGCAGAATTGAAGTTACCTTCCAGATTTTGGTCACGTGGCTGAGTGCTGGAGCTGTGAAAGTGAATTCACTGCTTTTACCTTTTTTTGAGGGAGGGAGTAAGGGACATACATCTACATCTACATATATGTAATATATGAGATTGATTTTAGTAAGCTAGTATTTATAGAGTAGCTTCTGCTGTTTAAAAATTTGGGGCAAGTTCACTCTATTTATGAGTGAACGGCTAGTTTTTCTGAGTCTGTGAAACAGTTTAAATATCAGTTTTCTACCGAAAGCATGACTGAGCATTTTTCTCTAATTCTACATATAGAAAGAATTGTTAGATTTAAATATTAAATTCGTAGAGCGTCTTTCAATTTTATTGTTAAATTTTATTGTTACATGGGGGGGGGAGTAAATTGAATTGTGAATTATGGCCTCTCTCAGTCTCACAGTCATTATTTTGAGTTCGCAAAACTTTGATTTCTTTTTGTGTGGCGTATCATTTCAGTATTCATTTAGAAATAGGCCCTGAGCAAAATCGCGTCTCAGATTTTATTTTTTCTCGTATTTATTTAAGCAGTATATTGTCGCATAGATCTTTGGAGACCTGTGGTCTTTATCTGTGCGATTTCTTCAAGGGACCATCATGCCTCGTCTAGTCCTGAATGCGGGTTCCTCGTTGCGGTAGCACCAGCGTCACCTGGGAACTCGTTAGGCCTTCAGCTCCACAGGCTCCATGGTAGCTCTGCTCACTTAGAAGCTAGGGGTGGGTTCAGACAAATATTCCAGACAACTCTCGCCTGATGCACACAAAAGCTTGAAAACTGGCTTAGTAAATGTTAAAGGTTCAAGGTAGCGTGACCCTCGAGATCCGTCAAACAGCGTTAATGATTAGCTCTGAAGCCCACCCCTTTCTCGGTCACGGCACCCGATTGGGTCTCCAGGGCAAGGCTGTGAAGTTCTTTACCAGATTGATTGCCACATATTGACTTTGTGTTGTTTGTATTTCTCTGAACCTGTCACTGTAATGATTTGCCAGGGTGTTCATTAGGAGCAAGCTCTCTTTTATTTATTTATTTTTTTGCACCACTGGACTTCGCAGCCACGGAAGTCTGGGTACCTTCTGCACTTCTGATAGATTCCTCTGGGCATCCCACTTGCCGTTTTGTATTTTTAACAGGGGAGACATAGGAAATACTGGGCCCCCAGGGACGTCCAGGAGCCCTTAGGTCATCCCAGTTTGGCTTCTAAGTAGGGAAATAGGACTTGTGTGAGGTTGGTGCTTTGCGTGCTGAAGGCAGGGTTCATCCCCACAGCCTGGCATCCGACTCCTGCTGGGGGAGCCCGAGCTGCAGCCGGGCCGTGCTTGCAGGGCATTCCTTTCCTACTGCGAAGTTTTCCTTTTTCAAGAAAAAAGAAAAGGCACATATAAAGGGGGTGGGTGGGGGGGAGCCAGGAAGTTCTCATTGGAACTAATAAAAGTGTCTAAAGGAAAAAAAAATCAGTTTGAGAACTTTGGTATGGAGGAAATAACCTGACATTAACTGTTTTAATTATAGTTGTCCTATTGGGCTTATCAGTGTGGGAAGAGGGAGCATTTGAGCCCTACAGGGAAGTGGGACAGGGACAACAAGATGACCCTCTTCCTGAATCTGCCTGTCAGGCTGCAGCCTATCAGCGCCTGCCTGAGCGCAGCAGATGTCCTGGAGGCGGGGCGGGGCCACGCTCAGTCGGAGACCTGGGTCTTGGTCCAGAGCTTCTGCAGTGGCGTGATGCCTCACCCGAGGGTCACTTCCCCTCCTTGGCCTTTACTTTCTGGTAGATGAGTCTAAGACCTAGGCTTGCCCATCCTGAGAAGAAAAATGCCAGATAGCGGGAAGGCTATCATTATAGGCAAGAACACTCTGGATCTGTTCTCCCTAGGGTCAAATCCTGTCTTAATTTGCTGATGTGGCCATGGACAGGTCTTGGTATGTTTTGCCCCTAGGAAGATTGAATTTGTCTATTGGAACAGATTGCAGCATTTAGCAAGTGCTATGTGTTAGCTATTGATGATGACGATGATGATGATAGATGAAATTTCTGTAAACGTGTTCTCAGATGATTCCATCACTTGATAATAGTGTTGGGAAAGCAGAGGAATAATAGTTCTGGGCTGGGAATATGGTAATGGTCATTGTTATTAGACTTGCTTAACATCCAACTTGTGTCTGGCCCTACCTCCCCTCCCACCCCCCACCCCCACCCCCCATTTTATAAAAGCTTAGTTTTAGTGAAAGGGCAGGTCTAGAATTTCTGTGTTTTTTTTATTATTATTATTTTTTTTTTATTAGTGAAGCATCACGAGGTACAGTAGACTTACAAACTTTCGTGCTTGGGTTTCAGCTATACAGTGATCGAGTACCCATTCTCCACCACCAGTGATCCCAGCAGCCCTCCCACCCCTCACCCCATCCCCCCACCCCGCCCCGCCTTTGTGGCAGGGCATTCCCTTTTGCTCTCTCTTTCCTTTAGGGTGTTGTGGTTTGCAATAGAGGTATGAGCGGCGATCATGTTTGGTCTATAGTCTACTTTCAGCACGCATCTTTCAACCCGAGTGATTCCTCCCAACATCCTTTACTTGGTGTTCCCTTCTCTATCTGAGCTGCCTTTTCCCCCAGCATGTGCTGCCGGCTTCCAAGCCTTGGAGCACGTCTAGAACTTCTGATGTTGAAACTTATTCATGAAATTGTATAGTTAGAGGAAGCAGAAATGTGGGACTTCTCAATTTTACTATCAGATACGTCGGCCACTTGAGATGAGACATCCTAACTAACATATGATAAAAGTTCATGAACGTCAACCTTATTTTTTATTGTTTGGCTGGACTTATGTCTTGCCTTTCCAGTTGCTATTAGGATTCCTGGTAAACTTTTCTGGTGATGAAAATTCTTAAGAGCCAGGCAGTCAAGGTATTGTAATTATCTGACATGTGAGTGGCAGATTTTAGTGTTGCTTTCTCTTTTCAGATAAAACTAATTCAAGTTTCTGCTACTACAGTTTATTTCTAAGATACCCTGTTTCGGGGAAACAAGGATTGTGGTAGTGGAATGCCATTTTGTTGTCTCCTAAAGGGACCAAAGCTCGAAAATGTAAAGATTATTGTTGCATCTAAATGTGTAAAATTAGCTTTCCGTTTCCTCTGATCCTTTCTTCTATATAGTCTTTGACTTGATCTCTTCTCCATCTTTGTTTCAGCAGCTTCATACTAGAGATAATGGCTTACTCTATGATATTGTTTCTCCGTTTTCCTGTTTCCTTGATATTGATATAAATCAAGCTCTCAAGTACACTTCTTGAGGGTGGTTCATGTTCAGGGGTTCTGGAGGCCACTTTTCGCTATTGTTGGCTGACCAGGGCAATTTGGTCGATGTTGGAATCTGATGATGTGTTTCTGCTTGGGACCGTGATGCTGTGTCCCAGGGTGCTGTGGACCATCAGGGCCATCTGGATGGTGCCTGCTCTTCGGGGCTGTATCCAGTGATACTTGGGGGCGAGGTGGTACCAGAATTACCAGAGTTGAGTGTGTTCAAGACATGTGCCATAGGTCCTGTACTAGCTCCTAAGCCATCAATTATAGTTTCTTGGGTGAATATTGTTAATGTTTCTGATTTCTTCTAAGTGGCCTGTTCTGAAACTTGGATCGAAGCCCCAAGTGTTTGATAATATCATGGATCTACACGTGATTCCTTCATTCACGGAAGAATCTGTATATTCTTCTAGCATATCTAAATCCCAAGGTGCTCATGGCATATCCTGGATGTTATAGCTTTGGTTTTATTTGTATCATTAGAATGCACTAGAGGCACAAGAGAATTAGGAACATCATTCAGGATCACTAAGCAGTTACTATGGAAGAAACTCTTGGAACGAGCTTCTTTCTGTGCTTCTATGAATGCTGAAGCCACAAAAAAAAAAAAGACAAAAACTGATGAAAACTTAAGGGAAATTCACAGCGAGTTGGATATGGGAATGAATGTTTATTGATTGGATAACATTTCTTTGGTATTGGGGGTTATCGTTGGTGACTTATTTTTCATCTGCTTTTGTCTTTATTTTTAGCACTGCAATGTCGGGATGGCTATGAGCCCTGTGTAAATGAAGGAATATGTGTCACCTTTCATAATGGCACAGGATACTGCAAGTAAGTGTTTTTCTTTTTTTCTTCTTCTTCATATATTTTGCTTTTCCTCAGTAGGACACTGGGCGAAATTTAGGTCACAACTCTATTTTTAATATTTCAATGAAATAGTTCTGGTTGTCTAACTTTTTGATTTTTTTGGGGGGGGGAGAGAGTAGGAATGGAAGAATATGATGTGAGTTAATCAGTTCATAAGAATTATTTTTTAAAAAATTATCTCTTATTAACCATGAGAAAGACTTCTCGGTGAATGCTTGCTTAATGTATATTGAGTACATTCTCTTGAAAATTTAAGGTTTAAGGTAAGGTTAATTCTCTAATTTTCTTGGTTTTAAGTAAAACCTAATGCATGGTAACTTTAATTATGCCCTTATGTATAATTGAGTATTGTAAGTATGTGGAACTGTTTTTCCTAGTTTGAAAAATCCAGTTCTGATTCTGAGAACTGAAGCTCCACACAAACATGCAGAAATGACAACTTCTGGGGAATAACAGCTCCGTGTGAATCGCACGGTATGAGGCCGAGGATGAGAATGAGCCCAGGGGAGAGGAAGGTAGCTTATGGCATTTCCTTCCTTTTTCTCTACTATCTAGTCTAGCTGTACTTTTTGTTTGAGGAAGCCTGTGAGATAATCTCAAAAATAGCTTCTCTAGGTTCCCTATTAATCATATTTTTTCTTCCATCTCAATTGAAAGTAGTTCTAATGTAGTAGAAGAAGAGTCGGTAAGATGAAAGTTATCATCTGGAATACTTAAATGGGGTGTATTTTTTTTTCGTTTGGTAGAGGTACTTGCTTGATAAGCATTAAAATCAATTTTTTTTGGTTACTGTAATTCACAACACTGTAAACAAAAGGGTTTCACGAAAGCAACATTCCACATAACCGCTCCCACCACTGATGTCAGTGTCTTGCCACCGATGTCTCAGGGGCTCCTCTCAGCCTGCCTCCCCCATCCCGCCATCCTCCCCCAACACCACACTGCAGTGGGCACTCAGGTGTAGATCAGTTCTTAGATTCTGTTGCACTTGACCTTCTATTATTGCCCTATTCTGCTTTTATATAGCCCACATGTTAGAACATTCTGTCTCTGTTCCCGCCCCTCTGGCTGGAGGCACTCAGCAGGACACTCTCCGGTTCCAGTCATGTAGTGGCCAATTATATGGTTTCTTCTTTCCTAACAGCTGAGCAGTATTCAGTTGTGTCTGTATACCATTGATAAACATCTTACGTGAACTTATCCAACATCATTTTTTTCTTCACTGGGCATTTCATTGACCATCATAAATACGGTCATGATATTTCCCCAGTGAAGCCTAGGATGTAGGCTCTTTTAGTGTCATAATAATTTTTCTATTACAAAACATTTTCTTCACTAATATTAAAATATTTTAATCTGTGATAACAAGAAAATGAAAACACATTGGATTTAAAGAAAGATAATATTAAAAATAAAAAATTTTATGTAACTAGTTATGGGCCAAACACTAGTTTTTCTAGGTGCAGATAACATTCTGTAAACTACGTTCTCCTCTAAAAATAGAAGCACAACTGTAAATAACGAGGGAGGAAACTTAGTACATTAGAATCTGGGTAATCCCTTTTTTGCATCTAGTGTTTTAGTTACCAGATTGATTTATTCTTGTTTTATCCTATTATTCAGTTCTCTTGTGGGGCTTAACCTGTCACATTATGGTCATTTGTTGGGATTTTCTGTCTCTAAATAGATTGTGAGGTTTTAGTCTTAAAACATTTTTATCTAGGTAATGCTTAGTACAGCATTTTGGTAAATGTTATGCAGCACCATATTTCTTTACCTAAAAGATGCTGAGTAAGTAGCATTATTCACATGTTTAAATATCTGTTCTGTTTTTCTTAAATAAGAAAACATCTGGTCCTCTGTTGAGAACTAGATTCTCTAGAACCTAGGATGGTTGTCTAAGTGCAGTAATACAGAGGAGGAATTAACTGTCATTTGGAAAGAATTTAATTTGGTAAGTTGCACATAGGAAGAATTTTAAATAGTTCAAAATTATGGCTTGTGTATTTGTGATCTCTCATGCGGAGCAAGGGTTTCTAGAGACCAGTCTGTGTATTTACCATGTTAGGAAGGAAACGAACTGGAGAACTACCAGTTTCCAACTTTTTGGCCAAGGCGAGAGAAGCAACATTGCTCCCAGTTTCTTGAAGAAGCATTAGGAGGGGACAGGCGACCCTCTGTGATTGATGGAGCTACAGAACTCTGACTTTTTGTTAACTGTTGATGGGGTGGGATGCTGGTAGATGGAGTGTTGAGTGAAGATAGATCAGATGCTCCTCACCTCAGTTCTTTCCTGAGTAAGGAGAGCAGTGGAACTAATGGGTGACTGAGACCATACTTCTGGAAGACCAGTAATGAACCTTGTGTGGAAGTTGAGTATTTCTCTACCCCAGTGAAAGCAGCATTAGTATTTTCAAGGCTGGTAAATGGACATAAAAATTTGAGAACGGTGTCAGGAAGGCTGAGTCAGCAGTCCTGACATGAGTACACGTCTCCACTGATTAAGCTGACTTTTAAGCAAAAGTAAAAACTATTCAGTGGACTTTTTAAAATTTTTAAATATTTTTTGGCCCATTTTCACTCAGATTGTTTTATTCCCTCCCCTCCGAAAGAAGGTAATCCAGCTTGTTTAGTAAATACTATTTTCATAGAAAGGTAAATGATTATTACTAGAACACTTAGGAGGTTTATAGAAATTACATCAGACATGCAGGGCATATGATTATCGTTTTATTCATGAGATTGCTCAGTGGATTAGGAAAAGAAAGTAGGAGCCAAATTCCTTGATGGGGGAGGGAGGGGGGTGTGGGAATGAGCGGAAAATGTTTGAAAGTAAAGGTATCTGTCTGTTTCCAGAGCACAATGCTACTGATTCAGCTAAAATATAATGGTTGTTTATAGAAGTTGCAGAAATCCATGATAAGATCCCACTGACAGATGAGGATAAGTACTTTTAAAGATTAGTTTTGTACACAACTCAGCTGCTTTTTCTCACTATTAGGAGTCTAAGTGCTGTGTCAGTCTGTGATCGTTGGGACGCCAGACAAGGAAAACCTGAGTAATCTTGCATGAAACTCAATTATTGTCCGTAAATAGTGTTGTCGGATCTAAACAAAGCCCCCTCACTACAGAGAGATAAGACATTTTATTCTCTCTCTTGCCCTGCTGTGAGGTGTAAATACATAATTAAGTTTGGATATCATTAATCACTTTCAAGTTATTTTGTCTCAGCTTTTAAATAGAAATCACTTAAAATCCCAGTTTGATTAAAAACCACGGGCAACCCAAGCTCACTGGTATGATGGCACTTGCTGAGGCTGTGACTTACAAAATTCACAATATGTGAGGAACGTTTTAAAATCTTGGCTGTCTTTTGGGTATGTGTCTAATCGGCTGCTTTTCTCTTGACTTTAGGGTACAGGAGCCTTTATTTCACTTTTATGGTGATTATCATTATTTGAATGACGTTGTAGGAATGAGTGATAAACTTTGGTCTAGAGGGAGTTACAGAACTAAAGGCTCACCTTAATCCCGTTGAAGCTTCTTACTACAGCCGGCCCATTTCTCCTTTGCTCTTAAGTCTGAGGGTGTGCGTTTTAGTTCAGGAATGTGGTTCTTACTCCCTAGAAATAACTTCTTCCATAGTTGTATGCACAGTATAAAGTGTTGACCTGATGTGAGTTTGAATGGCCTTTCAGCTCTCACTCTCCCTGGGTTCCTAAATACCTGTCTTCCTCCTTGTGCAGCATCAGGAGACTTAGAAGGATTTATTTTCATATTTCAGGGCTCCTCCTTCTGTGGGTCTGTCTTTTTTCAGGCTTTCTTCTTAGATTCTACCTATTTGGACAGTCCAAGACAACTTTGATTTCATCAGTCCAGTAAAACTAATTTTTTTTTCTCTCAGATGCTACATGAACAGGGGCATTCCTTCAGGAAAAAAGGCTGTATAAATTCAGATTTCCTAACCTTTGCTTTTCTTTTTTCCTTTTTTCCAAAAACAATTATAGTTTTGTAATATGGTTACAATGGTATTAATGATTTTAGTTCTGATGTACAACATTATTCTATCACCATGAAAATGCTTAAGTTCTCTATCATTATAGAATTATGATAGTTTATGTTATGTGTTTACACTAGTGTTGACTCTGTTTTTCTTTTTTCAAGGTGCATGTATTTCTTCTAGTTTCCGCCCTTTTGTGGGGGTAGGAGCATACCTGGTGATGCTCAGGGCTCCTGGCTCTTTGGGGCGGGGTGAGGATCACTCCTAGCAGGGCTCAGGGGATCATATAAGCCTCCAGGGTTTGAATTCTATGTTGGCTATGTGTTAGGCAACTTTTTAATTCTCCAGCCCTGCCTGCTTTTTTGCTTTTTGTTGTTGTTGCTTTTCAGTGCTTTTGATATTTTTTCCATAGTTTCAGTTACTGTAATCAAGACGTTGGTCTTATGCAATTTACTTTGCCATTATTTTTATTTGCTTACTTTGAGAAGTCGTTTTAATTTCATTTTAATTTTTTGGTTTTGGGGTCACTCTTGGCAGTGCTCAGGGATCATTTCTGGCTCTGTGTTCAGTCATTCCTCCTGGTATTTCTGAGAGGACCATTTGCAGAGCTGGGGATTAAACCCGGGTCACCAGCTTGCAGGGCGAACTCACAGAGATTTCCCTGTGCTGTCTCTCCAGCCCTTCCATTATTTGTACTTATTTTATCATTTTTACGGAGACACTGTGATTTACAATACTCTTAGTGTTAGTTATACTTTTCATGCATACATTGTTCCAAAGCCATGCCACTCACTAGAGTGCTCCTTTCCTCCACGAGGGTCCAAGCTCCTTCCATCCCCCGCCCCTTCCCCAGCGCTCACTTTCCCTTGGTCCCCAGGGAGGCTCAGTTTCCTAGATCATGTCTCAGGTTCATATGATTTTGGCCATTTATTATTCCCTTGCTGTGTTTCTTTATACGCAATTA